GGGGTGGACATCTGCAGCTCATACTCCCCAACATCGGAGGAACATCCCACCTTTTACACCCAGCCTCTCCCCCACAACATCCACAAAGGAATTATTTTCTCTCAAACTGGCCATCTCTCTTCCCTCAGAACACACACAAAATAGCCAAGGAAAAAATAAAGATAAATTATTGTTGGGCAGCTATTTCTAGCCTCATTTTACTTTGTGGAAACAAGAGTGTGGGATCCTGTGGGTGTAGACAGTGCCACAGAGGGACTCCCTTCTGTTGGTCTCTTGACCCTGCTGGAGAAGGCTCTGAATTCCAGGCTGTTGGATTTGCATCCTCTTCTCAGACAGCTGTGGACTCTGTATTGGAAACACAGAGACAAGTTCAAGGTTTATCAGATGAAAACATATAAGAAAGAGTAGTGGTGATGTGAATGGCCTGGTCCCTCTGGGGATAGCATCGATTTGTAAACTCTGCTGGAAGGATCATATATATGCTTGGATGATCCTTGAGCCAAGAAGCCCTGTTTCTACCTTAAAGATATTTAGTGAGTGTCTAGGTTGGCTTTTTCCTCAGGCCTATAATCTCTGAAAAGAAACATGGGAGCTAGAGGATTTTTTCTTTTCCCATCTATAAACCTGTGTTTCTAGTTTCAAGGATTTCAATCACTAAGATGTAAACCCGAAACTATTCATTTTAGCACCCAAGAGAAAAGCAAGCAGGGTGGCCCCAAACCTTCCAGCTATGGCAAGATTTAACTTTATGCCACAGTAGAAAGACCCCCAGACTGGTAACCTGGGTTCTATTTGTCCTACTTCTATCACCGACCAAATGGGTGACTCTGGGTTTAGTTTCTTCTTCAATTAAAAAACAAACAAAAAAAGACAACAAGAAATTGGAGATATCTCTCAACTCCATTCTAGCTCCAAGATACTCCAGCTCCTAGAGTACCCCTTCTCCAAGGCCCTCCACGTGAGGAGAGGCTTACCAGGTTGGGGTGTCTGAGCAAGGTTCTTTGTTATAGAGGAGCCTGAAAACATCTTTGTGGCCCAAACATCAGTGAGCTGTTTTGATCAGCATGCGTTAGGGACTTCTGTCCAGGATTGCCACCAAAAGCACTTGTTCCTATCTCTCCCACCTTTTTGCCACCCTTCCCCAGTCAGAGTAATTAATTGAAACTTCTATGTAATTTTAAATTTTTTATTTGAAAGAGAGGAAGAAACATTGATCAGTTGCCTCCTGCATGTCTTGATGGGAGATTGAATGTGAAAACTGGGTATGTGCCCTAACCTGAAATCAAACCCGCCTCCTTTTGGTGTACAGGACGACGCTCCAACCAGCTGAGCCTACCCACCAGGGGGCAACTTCTAGGTGATTTCAAACTTCACCTGATATAGCTAACCCTGTTTTGGACATCTTTGGCTTCAAAACTGATCATTATAAAACTCAAATTGAATTCCCCTGCTCTACTTTCCCCAACCCTACCCAAACATACAGCTGAACACAGTGACTGTGGGGCCTTTCTATAAACACAGGGATTATATACTCAAGAGTGTACTCCAAAAAACTCAGTATCATCTCATGTGCATCAGACCTAGTGATTTAAACTGTTTAGGCCCTTTTCTTATTCCTAATGTTCTGAAATGAGGTACAGGAGGGATAGGATTGTCTCTCCTCCCACCCATAAACCTTAGCTTTCTCTCTCTTCCACAGTGTACATGGGGAGGACAGGGGAGCGCAATGAACAAGAGGAAAGATGCATTCGCCTGAGATCTAGGAGGAGACAAAGGTGATATTTTCCCACCGCCCGGGTGTTTCGTTTCCAGCTCTTACCCCTTCTTATTTTAGAGGCTGGCCATTCCTAGAGTGACCTGGGGACTCATGCCCTCTGCACTGCTCCCCATGCACGTGGATAATGAAGCTGAGATGTCTTTGCCTATGTTACGTATAGACAGAAGGTGACCACCTACAGCCTGATGAAAAAATGAGGCAGATCTTTCTGCTGTACAGACAGACACAGGAGCTGAGAAAGGTTAGTGGGTTTCTTTCAGAGGGTGCTAGGTTGTCCCTAAAGATCATTTCAGAGCCACAAACTGCTCCATGTCCAGGTCTGTTTCCTTGAGAGGGGTGTGCAGTCAGGTTGCAGACCATGCCTAATTCCACCTCTTCCCTCTACCCTCCACCTCTTCCCCCTCCGCAATTTTGCAAAGCCTTGGTAGAGAGCAGAGCCAGCTATGTGATTCCAACCTGGTTTTTCCCTGTTTATTCAGTTCAGAAAGGAACAGGAAGGAGAGAGTGATAGTGTGGGTTTGGTCTATTTGTAGTACCTGAAGTCCTCCCTCCCAGGCGTGTGGGAAGGTCTGTTTGTTAATAATCACTGGGCTCTACCTCAGATCCCAGGTCCTAAGGCAGACCAGAGAAACTTTTTTTCCACTTCTCCCTGCTGCAGTTCAGGACTAAAAATCAAACGATGGCATGGGTTCTTGACACTCTCCACCTTCATCCTCTTTCCCAACAATATCCCCCTCACCGCCTAGGCTACATGGAGTGTGTTTGAATTTCAATTTTGGAGTGTCACTGGGTCAAACCATTTTCCTTGGAGGATTTGAGGAGCTTTAATTCCTCATGATATCCATCTTGTTTCAGGTTTTCAGAGCCACTACATAGAGAAAACTTGACTTTCTGACATTTTTGTCACCAATAGAACTGCGGGAATGTTTTGGAGGAGATGGGGATGGTAGTTGATGCCTGACCTGACCTTGGGAGCCAGACTTTGGATTGATCCTCACCTGCTACTTGTCAGGAAGTGTGATTGGAATCTGTCTGGGAGGGATGCCCTTTCCCGTTCATATGTGACATCATGTTGATGGGAGAAAGCCAAGGCCATGGAGGACTCTTGTTATGGTGCCAAGTGGATTCAAAAGAACAGAGAAAAAAATATTTGTCTACAGAGATTACAGTGACCAGCCTTTTCTCTGTCCTCACAGAGATACTTCCTTTTGAATTGGGAGACTAGCTGTTTCTAGTCATTTTGTATGCAGCTCGCTAAACTGAATTTACCGTACATAGTGTGCCTACCTCTATCACTGAATCTGTGTTGCTATGAAGCCAGTTTCCTCCCAAGATCTCGGAGCCAAACCTGTCTGGTGTAACTAACTTCTCGATCCTTGTACCTCCTCCCGCTGTGGTATGTCTCCAATTGGCACTGCCTAATTTGACCCAGTTCCTCTAAGGCAGTGGTTCTCAACCCCTAATGCCGCGACCCTCTAATACAGTTCCTCATGTTGTGGTGACCCCCAACCATAAAATTATTTTCGTTGCTACTTCATAACTGTCATGTTGCTACTGTTATGAATCGTAATGTAAATGTCTGATATGCAGGATGTATTTAGGCGACCCCTGTGAAAGGGTCGTTCGACCCCCAAAGGGGTCACGACCCACAGGTTGAGAACCGCTGCTCTAAGGGGACACTAAGATCTGCCTGCCTGGCCAGGCAGGAGAGGAGGTGCTTTGAGGGATGGGGAGCAGGAAGGTTGGGAGGGATGTGCCACCTGGGGATTGAGCAAATAGTGAAGTTCATCTACTGATTTGTTCCTCAGAATACCAAGACAGAATCTCAATGCCCTCTGGCTTCCGGGTTACCAACTGGTATTTAGACCAGTTAGAGGCGGCTAAAGACTTGTTTTGCCCAAGATGTGTCATAGAGCACCTGTTAAAAGGAATTAAGAAGCAGAAGAGCTGCCCTAGCCAGTTTGGCTCAGTGGACAGAGTATCCGCCCAAGGACTGAAGGGTCCCAGTTCAATTCTGGTCAAGGGCACGTACCTCAGTTGCAGGTTCGATATTCCTCTCACATCAATGTTCCTCTTATCTCTCCCTCCCCTCCATTCTTTCTAAAAATCAATGGAAAAATACCCTCCACTCTCTCTCTAAAAATCAATGGAAAAATGTCCTTGGGTGAGGATTAGCAACAACAAAAATGATAAAATAAAAAAAGAAGCAGAAGAGCTCAGTTTACTGCTAGGAACAAAGTCCAACTCAAACCAACTCCTTCAGATCCTTATGGAATTGTTTTGGGCCCATTTGGGCAGGTGTCCAAGAGTGAGAGCCAGGGTTAGCTGGATGCTATGCTTCAACTGCTCTGCCCACCTAGTGCTTGTCTAGCTAGCCCCTGGTTCTCTCTCTCTCTCTCTCTCTCTCTCTCTCTCTCTCTCTCTCACACACACACACACAATTGCATTAGCATATTTCTTGGTAGAACCTGTTCAACTTGTTCTTCCTTTTTAAGTAACAGACCCCACTCCCACAGGGATCACACCAACGGAAAAGATGTCTTATGCCTTAATTGATGTTAGAACCAGGAAAAAGCAAGTGATCCATGAAGGCCTTGAGTAATTTGGCTTTTGAAAGGAAGCAAGATGGTTTAACGAAGAGAACACGTCTCGGAAAGGCAGGAGACGTGTATACATTTTCCTCAGTCTCACCATGAGCCCTGAGACAAGTCACTTAACTGCAATGAGCCTCAGTTTCTCCAAGCAGAAAATTGAGAAACTCCTACTCACTTTGCTTCTCCTGCACTCGAGGGATCAGGGGGTTCTAGGGAAGTCACCTGTGGCATCTTGAACTTTGCAGTGATATTGAACAATCCCAAAGGGCAATTTTGGAGCTAATGGTTTGGAAATGAAAGTGAGTACCAGGCCGCCCTCTCCCATCTTTGGATCTCTGACGACTGCAAGTTCTCTGGCTAATTCCAGAAGGTACAAGTTCATTAACCGCTGTGGACTTGGGCTCTTTTAATCATTGCCCCTAAGGGAACCTTTTAAGGAACCACTTGTTAATGTGGCTTGTCTGGTTCCAAAGCTCAGTATACCCCAGGGAGGACTTAGAGAAATATTTTGTCCAGACCCTGTCTTCCTGGGTGAGACTAGCAATCTCTCTGATTAAATCTAAGGGATTTGCTTTGAGAATGTTTCAGGCTTTTCCATGAGAGTTTTTAGAGACGTATGATGTCTCTCAGAACTAGACAAGAATAACCGAGGTGGGGATGCCCTGGCCGAGTGGCTCAGTTATTGGAGCGCTGTCCCATATTCAATCCCTAGTTAGGGTATGTGCAGGAGGCAACCAATAAATGTTTCTCTCTCACATCAATGTTTCTCTCTCTTTTTCTCTCCCTCCCTTTCTCTCTCTCTAAAATCAGTAAAGCCCAGCCGGTGTGGCTCAGTGGTTGAGCATTAACCAGTGAACCAGGAGGTCACAGTTTGATTCCCTGGTAAGGGCACATGCCCAGATTGTGGGCTTGATCCCCAGTGCAATGTGCAGGAGGCAGCAAATAGATCAATGATTCTCTCTCATCATTGCTGTTTCTATCTTTCTTTCCCCCCCTCTCTCTGAAATCAATGAAAATACATTTTTAAAAAACAAATGTTTTTTTAATCCTCAGGTAAGGATTTAAAAAAAAAAAGGAATAACCAGGGAGAGGAAAGAAGCAGAAAAATAAAAAATAGATTTTACCCCTGTGTGCCCTTCAGAACCCCCACCCCCACCCCTGGCTCTATCAATATAATATTATAAGCAAACCAAATTTGCATCTACCTGCCTCAGTGAGATCCTTCAAACCCAAGAATCTTGGAGGCAGCTTAGGCTATTCATTTCCTTGCCCCACTCTTTTTATTTTATTTTTAAATTAATTTCAGAGAGGAAGGGAGAGGGAGAGAGAGATAGAAACATCAATGATTAGAGAGAATCATTGATCAGCTGCCTCCTGCACACCCGCTAGTGGGGATCGAGCCGCAACTAGGACATGTGCCCTTGACTGGAATTCAGCCCAAACCCTTCAGGCCAAAGGCCAGTGCTCTATCCACTGAGCCAAACAGGCCAGGGCTAACCTGCATTTCAAATCCAGGGTCCCCCCTTCTTTAAAAGCAACAAGCATATCAAAGTATTGACAAGAAGGTGGGGAGGGCCACTTAAAGGTTTAATTTGTTTATATACCTTCAGTAGAGAACTCTCCTCACTGAACCTGCGGTGGGCTACTCTCCTCCACTTTCTACTTTCCTGTCCTCTCCCTCCTGCCACACACACAAAACAGAATCCCTTGAACGACTGAATCCTGCCTCCTCCTCTTACTACTACCCCATCCTTAACAAGGTATAGAGCCCTTATGGAACTTTTTTTTTTTGCCTCTCAAGGGCTGGACTGAGCTGAGCTGTAACCTGCCTCATTTCCTACAGCATTAGCTCCACCCACAAGGAAAGGGTCTCCTCTCAGAACAACACAACCTGGACCACTCTGGAATGAGAGCATTTCCACCCCAGAGCCTGGGAAACAGAAGGTGTGGGTTGGCGGAGGCCCCAGGGTTTGTAAGTCAGGGTACATTGTCTTCCTCACCAGGATAAGGGATGAGGTTTTTCTTCTTCAGAGCACACTTAAGTGAGCTTTTAGGTTTCTTGCTAACTCCAGGATGTTAGAGAGAAACCTCTTCCCTTCCCAGTTCTGGCTTCTAATAGCAGCTATTTTCTTTTTCAGCAGAATCTAAGATGGACATAGAAGACTGCAATGGCCGCTCCTATATGTCTGGTATGCCCTCTTGTGCATTCTCTTTGTAAGGGGCTAGGAGCAGACACCCCTGTAGAGCAGCGCCTTCAGCCCCACAGACCTCTGAGTGCCCTAGTCACAGGGCCAACACCCACACGTGGTAGTGCTTGATAGTAATCATTTATTTTGGTCATTTTACATTCCTTCGTGATTTTCTTCCCAGGCTTCTTGGGTGATAGGAGAAGGGAATAAGAGAGGAATATGAGTAGAGACTATTAGAGAGGAATGATTTGAGGCAAAGAGATGGAAGAAAGATGTAGTTCCTTCTGTTCTCTGAAGTTGCCAGCAAACATGATATTTAATAGAGAGTAGAGCAGGGTTTCAAACCTCAAAGGCCTGGGAGAGGGGGCAGATGGGTATATAAATGAATGACTTGGGTTAGAATAATGAGCAGAAGAGAATGGGGGGGACTGTCATGAACTGGAAAACATACGTCCTTCCTCAGGGAGCAACAGCTCTTCAGTGTCCGTGTGGGAGTGTGTGTGTGTGTAGCCAGTGTGGCCAAAACTTCCAGTTGTTTAAGAGAAATCAAAAATCCAGATTTTATATAAAAATAATGACTCAATTTAAAAAGAAAATGTTTCATGGGGCAAGCCAAACTTATCTATAGGCTGAATTTGGCCAGTGGACCAATGGCTTACAGCCTTTGAAGTGGAGATACAGCGCTCAATTCTCCTTTCCCCCAGTCCTTTTCAATGATCAGAACATACAGCTTTTAATATCTGCCAAATACTCTTACTGAGGCAGAAGAGATCATGGCTCATGGTATGCCTGGCTTTTAGAGATAGGAAAGTTATCAGGATGCTCTCAGAGTTTAACAAGGTGAAAAGAAAGGAGGAACTTTATCTGGCTCCTGCTCTGAGGGTATAGGAAAGGGCCCAAGACAGAGTGTGTCTAAGATGGAAGGAATCGTTTTTTGGGCCATTAGCATGCCAGGGCAGGAAATGATTATACGAGGTCAGGGAAGCCAGAGTTGGGTTTTGACATGATGAGTATCCCCCTCAGATATTCAAGCACCATTGTAGAAGTGACCTCTAGCTTTTTTTTCCCCCCCCTCAAGTGGGACTTGTGGAGGAAGTATGGGCATGCACTGAGGGAGACAGCAGGGTGGATCAGGCACACATTTAAGAGTCACTGACAACTCCTGGGTAATGTAAGGGAAGACAACTCTGACCCGTTTTTCATTTCAGAGGGAAGGAATTGGAATGGGGACAGGCAGTCAGTCCCTGCCACGTCTGGACAGGGTGACAGGGACCAAGGGGACTGACATAACTGAAAGAAGCTTTATTGGTTTGAAAGCCATAGCCTTTCTGAAGAACCAGCCAACCCTCCCACCTCCTGCTCATTAAGCCTATTCAGAAAACCACTGCAGAGCAACAAGCACACTCAGGACCCTGCTTTATTGCCGGGGACCGCTCAGGCGGATGAAAACCAGTCCCTGCTCCATGGTAGGCAGAAGAGAAACCAGGAAGGTGGGCGAGGAAACACGACAGGCCCTCTTCAGCCCTGTCTCTGGAGAATCATGGATATTAGAGGAAAATTTCTGAGGGTGTTTGCTTCACTGCGCTATGAAACCAAACTTCCCCTGCTTTCAGCAGGTTGGCATGTCCTGTATAAGTGGAGGCCTCTGCACAGGATGGCTTTTTGGGTGAAAGTAGAGGTCAGCCACCTCTTACCTGTGTTTTGAGAATTCTAGACGTCAGCAGCTACCTTGGAGAGGGAGAAGGGAAAACCCAGATAGGGCCAACATGAGCCCTGAAAAGTAGCAGCCCCTGCAGAACTGAGCATGGCCCAGACAGTCCACCGGCGGGGCACCTGACCCATCTCTCCTGGAGTGATATGGAGGCAGCGGGGGAGGCTGACGCAGTGCACACCCTCTCAAAGCACCCCAGTGGCCCCTGCGAGGCCATCCCAGCTCTTCTGCCTCCACACCCGGTGGCCTTTCCTCGCCTGGCCACTTGATGAAGGGCGTGTCTCTCCTGTTCTTCACCCGGGTTTTCCCACCTCACAGAACCCAGTTCCCAAAGCCCATGTTCTCTAAAGGTGCAGACGATTCCCTCCTGCGGGGAGAGGGAGGAGTCATTGATTTACCATCCAGAGCCTCTCCCCTCCCCCTTCCCTCTTTCCAGGGAGGCCTAGTAGCTGGGACTGGCGCATACAACTGTTTGAGCAGTGCTTGAACCAAGTTTTCTGGGACCCTGAAATGTTCAAGGGAACCTCCGTAGAAAGAGATCCAGGGGTAGGCAGCCCAAAGTTTCACAGCCCCTCCCACCCCCAAATTCTTGGAATCAGAAAACCTAGTCTCCAAAGTAGGTCAGCGCGTCACTGAGAGCTCCTCTGGAAGGGAAGGGAGCGGAGGCCTTGTCTTGATAGAGGGCGGATTCATCCAGGGCTGCAGGCAGGCAGCCGGCCCCAGGGGCACAGGCCGGGCGGGGCGGCAGGGAGACTAGACCAGCATTTTGCCCGGGATCTGAAAGGACTCAGGGCCACAGAGCCACACCGGCCTGAGACCAGACTGTGCTGAGCCCTCTCACCCCTGAGAAGGAGGGAACTGTCCGTCCCCAGATCCAACAGAGCGACCTCCCTCCTGGAGGAGGAGGGAGAGGAGGGAATCAGTGCCTGAGTTTGGTGGGGGAGGGGCTTTCTGCGGATCTGAGCGCCTTGAAGCTGCCCCACGTCCTGGGCCCCATGACCTCTTGGGGCCTTGGCTTCCCCAGCTGGCGGAGGATTGGGCCTTCCCTGGGGGCCCCCTTTCTCCCTCCCACCCCGAGGGCCCATCCATCTCTCTCTTGCACACACTTGCTTCTCTCAGGCATTTGTTGTGCGAACGGTTCCTCTTTGTCTGCTGGGCACGAGGGCAACGGCATCTGCCTCCCGCTCCCTGTGCACACCCCCCACCCCCGCCCCTGCACTGGCTTGGGAAAGAGATGCTGTAGCCTAGCGCCCCCCGCCCCGCATACACATATACATTCTACATTCTCTGCAGCCCCCTCCTCAAGCACATCCAAGCGTTCTCTCTCTCTCTCTCTCTCTCTCACACACACACACACACACAAAAAAAAACACCCACCCACACACACTCCCATGCATACACCCTGGGCTGAGCTCTTGCTGGCTGCAGCCGTGGGCCCCTGCTCACCGTGCCGCCGCCGCTGCCTGCGAAATGACGGCGGTTCCCCTCACTTCCAGGAATCCACGCTTCCTGGAAGGTGAGTGGCTGGGCTCACCCCTGCCTGCCACCGAGACGCAGACATGCACACACCACCCGCACCCCCTCGCCGTTTCCAAGGCGGCGGCCGCGCTCGCA